CCCATAGCTGGGGGGGATGCAGCAGGAGATTCCAGCACAGATCCTGCTCCAGGAAGAGAGAGGCTGTATCGTAAGCACACAGGAGGAGGAAATTAGACTCTTGAAGAGCCACTTCCATCACCCGTGTCATCAGCAACACAGGTATTTTGGAGGTCTCCTGCTTTTCAAGGCGACATATTTGGTAATGAGCCTGTCGTGGGCCCCCTCACGATGCAGGAGGCTGCTGCAAGCAGGGGTACAGGCTAACATTAGTGCTCTGGGAGAAACTGGCCTCAAGTCAAGCCTTTTGCAGTAATTCCCTGCCCTCCCAGATCTAAATTTGGGATGAGATTTCATGAGGGAGGTCACTGAGACGGGGGGGTGCTTCAGCTGCCTCTTCCTGCTCCTGTAACTATGTCCTGCTGGCCTGGAGCCTGGAAAACCAGTGACCAGGACCTGGTGTTCACTGAGAGGGATGAGCGGTCCCACTCAGCTCAGCAGAGCTGCCTGAAGGGAAGGCTAGACCTGAAACACCGCTTCTGACACTCCCAGGGGACAGAGTCTTATTTTTAATATATCTCTCTCTATACATATATAATCTCCAAAACTTGAGGGATGCTCCTAGGGCTCTACCAGAGGGGCACCCAAAGCTCACTCCTTTCTCCTTACCTATGTGGGAATCGATTTCTACAATCTTCTCAATGCTGCTGGGTTCCATGAGCGGGGAGGTGATCCTCTTCTCCACAGCCAGGCAGACGCCCTCTGAGGTCTGGATCCCGATGGCCGTGGAACCAAGCTGAAAACCACTGCACAGTTACCACCACCGCAGCCGGCACAGGGTCTACCCATGACAGCTCGCATAAATATAAGTGGTGCAATGCTAATTTTGTCATGTATTATTTGTAGGCGTTTTGTTCTGGAGACAATCGCATCACCAACACAGCAACACACTTGCAAGACTGCATGGCTTTGCGCACCAAATTTTAAATGTTACTACTTGAACGAGGAAACTGGAAAGGTTAAAGGCATGCTACTTCCCAGCTGACTAGTTCATCAGAACCCAGCAGGGCTGCTGCAAGCCATTAATCTCTTCCCTGAGCAACATCAATTTTTACAGCTTAAAGCCTTACGAATTTAAAAAGCCTTGCGAATCTTCCTTTGCAAGACAGAAATTAAATTTTAAAGTGAGAGAGGATTTCACATAATGGCCTTAATTCTGACTGCATCTGTACTTCTGGCTTGGGCATTTCTTTCCATTAGCTCTTTTTCTCCCAAGTGTCCTCATACCCACAAAATTTACAATGAGAACGAGAGCATTTTGCGCACGTACCATTTTCCAGGCAGCAGTTAATCACCCGCAGCCAAGACCGCAGCAAGTTTTACCCTAGTCTTGCAGGACCCCACAGTGTCACCACGGCCATGAGCACAGCTGAGGGGGTGCAGTGTCAGATCTCAAGGTCTCCCACCAGCCCCTACCCTTGCTCCCAGCACTTGCAGCTTTTCCACACTGGGGAATTTACCAGAATAACTGTACCAGCTGCGGTGTGGAGATGCTGACACCAAATATCCAAGTCAGGCTACAAGGTATAATTTTAGCACCAAGCTTCCCCAGGTAGCTACACCTATAACCACGGGCCTGACAGAGGGGACTCTCCCTGTTGGAGGCACTCATGGTTTTAGACTTTGCCCAATGCTCCCGTCCTTTAAGCACGCAGCCTGCCACAGCTGCGCACAAACCCCAAGGGAAGAAGGGACACCTGATGTCACTTCAGATGTATTTTTGTTAATGAAGCTACAGCACACAAATAAAAAACTCCTCCTACACCCCTAATGCACAGGCATCACATGTAACTTGTTGCAGCAGCCACCTGAGCTGCAGCAATTTTGTTGGTAAGCTTATGGGCTGATCTGGAAAAAAAGGAGAAGCCAGAGGCTTCTGTATGATTGCTACTCTAGTAGATGTATTCGTAATTATAACGTCAGCATGGCAATTGACATCCTTCTGAGAGTTTTTACTTCCCAATGCCTTAATAAACATTATTACTTTTTGCCTCCTCATTTAAGTTGTGCTTCAATGAGCTAAAGCAGTATGGGGAAGATAAAGCCAGCACCCTCCTTTTCCCCAGTCCAAACACAGGCCTGCTCAGACCTTCTTCACTTCGTCACTTGACCAGTTTCCCCCAAGTTTAAATTTACTCCCAATCAACACCCACATTCTCAGAAACAAGAACATCTATCAATTAAGAACACTTGATGCCCCAGAAAGGCCATTCAGCTCTACAGAGGTAGGTTAGTTTGCTCCTAACAACCTTTACCTTCAGGTTTTAAAATTCACCTTAGCAAATGGTGACCCACTCCAAGCTGCAACAGCAACCAGCTAAGAAAATGAAAGTTCACCTAGCAAAAGAAAAGTTGCCACTTTAGGGTTTAAGGGACACCATCTTTATAAAGCCCATGGACCTGAAGGGAACACTGCATTAGCTCAGGCAAACAGAAAGCGGAGCGCTCCTCTGCTCTTAGACCAGCGTTTATGGACATGAAGTGCACGACATGCTGGCAGCATGAACATCTACAGGCAGAGTCACGGTGTACAGGCATTCAGGACCTCCTGCTTCAACAGTAGCTTTTAGTAGGTTTGATGTGGGGATTAGCATCTTCAGATTGTGTTTGGTTTGGGGGTAAATTGGTCAGTATGAGAAACGGATGGGAACGTTCCCCTGCATTTGGGGAAATCGATGGCTTTTGATTCTTCATGACCCATAAAAGAGCAGAGTGGCAGGAGCTTTGGCTGGACGGAAGGAATCGAACACTGCCACACAGCTCTCCTACCACAAACTGTAGGTGAAAGGTTGGCAAAGAGTTGCCACAGCAGTCGCATGCAGGAGCGGCGCCTACAGGGAAAGGCACCAGCTCCCACTCGGTGTTGTGTACTGCCCTGGGAGCTGGCCAAACCCTGCCTCGCTGCAGAGTGAGGCCAGAGCCCAAATGAGTAGAATCTGCCTGTTTTATTTCTGACCAAACCCAGGCCTTCAGTTCGAAAGAGCCCTTAACATCACAGTTTGGCAACCAGATGGAGCTGACGATACCTTTATGGCCTCGATGGCATACTCCACTTGGAACAGCCTTCCCTCTGGAGAAAAAGTGTTCACACCCCTGCAAGAACAACATCAGAAATGGTGTAAAGGGCAGGAAACTGAAGGCCGACAAGGAACACAGTTCCTTATTCAAGAGCGATGGTGGGAAGAGTGATGCTAGGGGCAGCTGGAACAACGTCATGGCTTCGCTGGAGCTCATCACCCTTGCCACAGATGCTTGCAAGGTCTGGATTCAGGATGCTTACGGAGAAAGAGAATAAAAGGAACACCAGCTGGTCTAGCAACGGGTGAGGAGGAGGTTTGTTTTCATGGCACACTTTACACTGTGGATGCTGGAAGCATGCTGCCTTTTGACTCCAAACAGCACACCTTCTCTCAGAACCAGGAGCCAGCAGGATTTTATTTTACCAGTGCGGATATCCCATCACATCATGTTCCCACCCTCCCCACACACCAGCCCAGCCTGACTTCCACTGCTCCTCCCATCCCACCGCACAAAGCAGGAGATGACTCTGCCCTCCCGAGAGAAGCCCTGTGCCCAGGGCCTCCATCCACATGCAAACCCCTCCATTTCTTAAAAGCCATCTGATTTCAGGAGGCGTTTAGCAAGATAAACTACAGCCT